TCGCTACGGAGATTCACCGGAAACGGCAATCCAACCGAGGAAGGCTAGGCATCTTCGTCGATAGCAACCCAAACAACCGCAATTCTAGTCAACTTCCGCTCGTCAAAATCGTATACCACCAACAGTAGTCACCTTCCACCAATGGCGAAGAAGACACCAGCAAAACGTAAGTTTATGGCTACATTACAACAATATACTTTGTTTTCCCCCTTCGTTGGTACCTAAAACCCCCTTCAAACATTTTTTTTCCAGGCCGTAATCGAAAGGAAAAAATGGCACAGACCGAAAACCTATCAACAGGTACTACCCTACTTCAACCATCTCACTACTTCAAATACACAAATTTGTGATAAAACCGTAGTCATGTATCCAATTTTGATGTCTGATTGTTGTTTCCATTAGTAGTAATTCGTAGTCATATTTGCATATGTGGTTACATTCATGCATGCCACAGATTTTGTGTTTTTTTGTGTATGGGTGTTGTTTTTCATTGGTAGTACTTCGTAGTCATATTGTCATATGTGGTCACATTCATGGATGCTGTTTTGTTTGTGCTGTTTTTGTTTGTGGGTGTTGCTGTCACTGGTAGTAATGCATAGTCATGTTTTCATATATAGTCACATCCATCCTCTGCTTCAGCATTTGTGCTGTTTCTGTGTGTGGGTGTTGTTTTCATATATAGTCACATCCATCCTTTGCTGAAGCAATTGTGCTGTTTTTTGTTGTTGTGAGTGTTGTTGTCATGGCTAGTTCTGGATAGTCATATTTATATGTGTAGTCACATACATCCTTCAGATTTTGTGTGTGTTTCCTGTGTGTGGGTGTTGTTGTCATGGGTAGTACTACATAGTCATATTTGCATATGTAGTCACATTCATTCTTACTACATCCTGCTTACTACCTCATGTGTGTTTTGTGTGTGAGTGTTGTTTTCAAGATTACTTATTAGCAGTCATGTTCACACCCTAACATATATAAAAACATCTTTATGCAGATACTGAAACAAGTGAACAAATATTCAGACGTAAGAAGGGAAAATGGACACAATACCGAGCCAACATGCGATCAATCGTGACCTTCTTCGAAGATATACACCTACGACCACCTCACTATGCATGTCTTCGCCGTACCCCATTCTACCATCTCGTTCTACCATTCGCAAAACACAAACTCAACAGAGATGACGTCGCAGGCACACAGAATGGAACTTTCAAAATAATAACGTCATACAGCAAAACAGAAAGGGCATTCCATATAGGAGGCAAAAATATTACAATCACACCACAAGATTGCAAGTTAATCTTTGACATCCAATCTGGCAACACACGGATGACTTTTGACTGGTCAAGGAAGCCGCAACAAGGACTCGCAGCACGAAGATTTGCCGCACACCCATCGCTCCACCAAAAAACTTTGAAACACCACCTACTGCAGTGCATAGATAGCGATGACAATGAAGACATTGAAGATGTGGTCAGATTAATAATCCTACACCTTATGTCAATTGTCATTTTCAACACTTCAGCTGAAATCGTAGCTTGGTGGATGTTCAAGTACTGCGATGATATCGACCAAACAATTGACTTCAACTGGGCCAGGGGGATAACGGATTTCTTGGTTAAACAAATCCACACAGCAAAAAAACATGACAAAGTCCATGGTTGCATACCACTTGTGCTGGTAAGTATGAATAGTCACTTATAGTCACTTGCTGTCATGTACAGTCACTTATAGTCACTTGCTGTCATGTACATTCACTTATAGTCACTTGCTGTCATGTACATTCACTTATAGTCACCTGCTGTCATGTACATTCACTTATAATCACTTGTTGTCATGTACATTCACAAATATGACTAATTGTTTATGTTTATTTACGCAGTATTGGATGTGTGAGCGTGTAGCAATCGTGCCTCCGCTGGCTGATTTTGCTTTTCCAAGATTTCGGCGGTGGGATATATCCCAGCTTGCATCTACATTGAGCAGCAAAGACATGAACGATATCGATCCACAACTCGTCAACGAGAATCCGCTGATCCCAACAGAGCAAGAACAACAAATCTTAGATGGAAACTTGGTCCTGGACGATATCAGCAATGATGCAAACGATGAACAAAACAACGATAACAACAACAACAATGCTAGTGTTCATTCTGCCACTCCTTCTGATTCTGACGAGAATGTCCTAATCAAAAACTGGTACAAAAAGCGGCAGTCGTCAGATGAACTCAAGATCACAACCGAGCTGAATGAAAGAAAGAGGCTATTGGAGGTAGAAACAAAACAAAGGACAGAACAGGAGGCCCAAGTGTCGCAACTGCAAGCTGTCGTAGAAGAACTTCCGATGGAGATAGTCATGCTAAAAAACGACAAGCAGGTACTTGTTGACGAAAAGGCACATGTCGCTCTTCAACTTGCAAAACTACAGGACGAGGTCCCGCTTAGCAATGCTGATGGGCCGTCTTTCAATATCTTGAGCCAAACACAGCCCAACCAGAGTGAGCTGCAAGAAAAAATCAAAGAGAATGCAGAACTGAAGGCAAAGAATGAATCCCTCATCAAACGTCTTGAAGAGTTGACAAATGCTACAACAACTGTACAACCCGAAAAACCTTTGTCGCTGACACAAGAGATTGAAGCAGAAAATATCTCACTCACAAACATGCCTGAGCACACAGCAGCCCAAATCTTCTTGGAAGCTGAAATCACCCTCCTAAAATCAGCTGAGAAAACTCATCTTGAGAAAATTAGAGAAAGGGATGAAAAGATAGCCGAGTTGGAAGCTAATTGTGCAGAATATGCAAAGGCACTTGATGAGCGCCCACCAATTCATTCGGACAGCGACTTTGAGATATGTGAGGAAGATATTGAGGCCAAGCTAAACGACCCAAAATCTGCAGTGGGGAAACGTACTAGGTCAAAAAAGCATGAAGTAACACCACGTAGCACCAAGAAAGCACGTAGAGATTTCAGATACAAAAAATTCAACCCATTCATCAGCATGAGTGCGAGAGACAAGGCAATAATAAACACAATGGCAGATGAAATAGTGCATGGGAAGTAAGTAAACTTTAACTACAGTCATATATCCAGTCATCTATATGAAATATTATACTACTTTATACAGTCATATATAGTCATATGACTACATGACTATGTGTGACTAGTTCTCTATGACTATTCATATATGTAGTCAAGAGTAGTCATATAGTCATATGACTACCCATGACTGCACAATCACATGTCTTATTCATACTTCAAAAATGTTTATAAATGCAGTAGAACAGTGTGGAAGAATCCAGATGGCAATATTCATGTTCGGATCGCCGACATCTTTATCATCCTCAGAAAGGAAGATATTTCGGGCGAGGTAAAAACAAATTTAATAACACTGTACAAACTATCCTGCCCACATTATGTACACAAATTTAATAACACTGTACAATCACAGGTTATAGATGCTTACTGCGAGATATTGGGACATCAGCAAGCTGCAGGGTTGTTTGAAGGTAGCGCTTATGAGTCGCTTAGAGGAACAAGCATGACGTTCATCAGCATGCTACTGGTACAAAGTCGATAATATATTTGTAATTGTTTTTTTTTTTGAAAAGAAGTATATGTTTTCCCGTGGTAACTAATCAGTAGTTCAAACAGACATCGTTGAGGCAGTCCAAAAATAAAACATTCCGCATACCAGCAGAAGTTAGCAAACATAGATACCTCATCTTCCCATTACACTCCGACGGTAATCCTCAAACCGGGGCTAACCACTGGACACTGTTAATATTGGACATAAATTCAAATGAGTGGCGTTTCTACAACTCATTACATCCTCGCAAAGGTCTTAAGGACCCATACCTGATTGACGCCACCGACATGGTAAACAAATACTGACTATTTATTTCCAGCAACTACCTATTTAATAAACAAATATCTAATTCATTCATGTACACAGAAAATGTATGTCGAAAACACAGCAAGGAAGTTTAACATCTCCGCCATTCCCATAAACGCACCGCTGCATGAGGTAAATGACTCACCCCAACAAGCAGATGATTCAAGCGATTGTGGTACTTTTGTCCTGTTTGTTATAAGAAACACATTCCGCCAAATTCCACTGGTTACCAACGACGCTGAGACCGGAGTCGATTGCATGAGGAGGTCCGTTGTTGAATCATTGCTCCACTACAAGATTAATTGATATTGGACAATTATTATTCCTAATAAGTGAATCTTTTATTTCTGCAAACTACTTGCCACAAAACAGAATCTTATATAGTTGTACTTTTATATGACTATTTTGTAGTACTTTTGTATGATATTTTTGCAGTACTGAAAAACATCTTTTCTTATGGCTATTATATGCATTACCATTCTTCAAATGTTATTTTGTAGAACTTTTGTATGACACTACTACATACAGCTATGAAAAACTACATAAAGTCATATCAAGTCAGATGACAATGTGACTATATATGACTACATGTGACTACATAGTCACATATAGTCACATAGTCTTATGACTATCGTTGACTACTTCTTTATGATCTACATATTTTGGTCAGATTACA